GTTGGAAAATTACAGCGGTGTCACGGAACAATTTACAGCAAACACGGAGCAGATCAAAACACTTATCCCACTAACACCTCTACTGTTTTGACACAGTATGTAAAATTATTCTATTTTAAGTATATCCTTTTGGAATTATTATTATTTAAAAAAAAAAGTTATGACGACGTTTAAGGTTTTAAACTTTCCATTTGATGTCACACAGCTCTCGCTGTTGTTAATGTAGCGTGTTACTGACCCCTACTGGAATACGTGTTCACTTGCATGTAAAAAAAAATCATACAACTGCCACAGTTCCTCAGTAACAGTTTACCGAAACAAAGCTGGTACCACAAGTCTTGCAAGTTCACGACACTGCCACATTTCATAACGCTTAGGTTTTATAGAAATCCTCAGAAATGCTGTTACTATTAATATCTTAAAGTCCTCTGAGGGACAAAAATAACTCAAGAATTAGCTCTCAAACCTTTTTATTTTTGTTGTGCCAAGCCTGAGATAAAGGGTAGTATTTTCAGCTCACACTAGCCTAACCCAGCGGAATATTTACTAAATTCCCCTTTAGTTAAAAACAACCATTTATAACTACCCACCTTATCAGAGTTTGGGTTTGAACTCATAGTACTTTCCATTAGAGGGGAAAACTGCTACTTTCAGTTTTCGCGTTTAACGCAATCTCAACCAAATGTTAAGCGAGCCCTCCTGTCCCTTTGAAGCCCCTACAGACTGACTCATTTGAAAAATGTCACATTCCCCTGTTGCAAGTGAGGTTAAGCACGTCGCTCTTCTGAAAGTCCCCTGACAAGACATGTTATCGTGCTCACACACAGAGACTTCTGCTTGTGCACCAGAGATTTATACACAAAGTCAAAAGAAAGCATACCTTAAAGTCTCCTTGATATGTATGGTAGAGTGGTGTGAAGTACTCATAAGGGCTTGGGATGTGTTGCCATAAGGACAGCTTTTTGATGCCCCCTCTGTAGATGCAAAGAGACAAAGTGTTATAGGACTGAAGTGTAGTTTGGTGGATGCATTAACAGGCTGCTATTGTAGGACACAAAGTCAAGTCAGCTTTATTTTTCATAGCGCTTTATACAATGGATACTGTTTCGAAGCAGCTTCATGCAACATTAAAATGTGAAAGTAGCAGAATCAGTTATGCACACTTTAAAAATGAGGCAAATCCAAATTCTGCCACAAACACATGCTGATTATGTGCTGAAAGAGAAATGGAAACAGTGGCTGTCATGAGAAATGTTGAGCTTTATGCACTTGCAGAGCTTGTGCGTCTGACTTCCTCCAGTTTTTGACCTACATGAAAATAGATTGTCTGCAAAAACATATCTGCTGCTGTTGTGGTTTTCGTGAACGTGGGAGGTGAGAGGACTATTCATATACGGTAAGCGCCGTCATATCGATTACTGGAAAACTCATTTAGAGGAGGCGCTATCGAAATTTAAGATCATACTCGTCTATAGTCTTTTATTCAGCCCGCCACTTTGTGGGATATCAGGCAAACTTCTCAGCACATTATCTTTCAGATTTTTAGGAATGAGTGAACTGATCTAGATAGTTTTAAAGGTTAATACAGGCTTCACAGGCATATGACTTACAGATAATAAAGTGACTCATAAATTGACTAACAGTCATAACAAAAGATGAGTTTGCTTCACTTCTCCATATTCCACAAAGTGACTTCTCTACAATTTGTACAATTCCCTAAATGTGCCTCATGGCCTTTATAAGGAGCCAAACTTCTTGATTTCAATTTTGTCTTTGTCAAGTAAACAGTTTGCACTGAGAAAGGTCATTTATTTCAGACTAACGCATATCTGAACTGAAACAAAGTGAAATATTGGACAAATAAAAGTAAGATTGATACTCACAATTTCCCACTGTACAAAAGCAACACCACCATCACAACAGGAAGTGCCAACAGCAGGAAATAGTACTGTTCTGACTGTGGAGAGTCAGATGTCCATTCAACACTGCTGCTCCATTCACTCCACATGGATGTAAAAGTTGAAGGATGCACTGCAACCTGAACTTCTGCCACATACTGCCTTCCTGGCAGGAGTTTTTCACTGAGGATAACCATTGATTGTTGGTTCTGCTGCAGGGTGTAAATTTGTGCCATCTGAGGAAGCATCACATGGTATTCAGAAAAAATGTCAGCTAAACAGGCATGATTTTATATTATGCATATAATAACACACAGAGAGAGAGAGAGAGAGAGAGAGAGAGAGAGAGAGAGAGAGAGAGAGAGAGAGAGCAAAAAAATTAGTTTTACCTTATCTGGGTCACTTTTAGTTCGTAATCGTACTCCGTAGTATAATTTTTTATACAGAAAGTGTTCTGTATAAGCCACATCCCAAGTGAGGTTAAAATCCCCATCAGTTTTTGTAATGGTTAGGTTGAAAGGTTGTTTTGGTTTAACTATGAAACGAAAAGAAAACCAATGTTAGTGCATTGTACACAAGTAACCAAGACTATTGAAATACAGTGGGGTCCAAAAAGCCTGAAATTGCATTAAAAATCTTGTACCAAGATCTCATTTCAACCAGAATGTTTTAGGGTTTTAAAAAGGTTATGATCATTAAAGCTCAAGATGCTCTTTGGATCAGATCATGCTGGAGAACATGATCATCAGGTTCGGCACTAACTGAGCAAAAGAGGATAAACCAAATACTATGATATATTGACAATCATTATATTAAACGATAAAATCTTTGAACATTCGGAACATCTTTGAACATTCGGATCTCACTGTATCCACCTTATTATGCAAAGCAGAAGTGAGCTATTTTTTTGTGAACATACAAGACTTATGATTCATTAACCACTATAAGAATAGCAAAGTGTAGTAAACCGTAACACTCCCTGCAGTGCATTTATAACGACAATACATATACAGCAGCATAACATTGTTTTTGTGCTGCTAAAATAATCTGAAGCGAACGACACCGGAAGTCTTCAAGTTACAAAAGCCCACCCACGCTCTTACGTAAAAAATTAGGTGGATATGACGTTTACACCAAGTAGATATCGGGACATACCAGATTTGTATAAAACAATATTTTCAGAGTGACTCTTTGTTGGGGTCTCCATATTGCCTTGTTTGGCCATTTGTGTTACTATGACAGAGCAGTTAGTATCAAAGGACATTATCATATCCATATCCTCTGGCTCCATTGTGCACCAGGATTGTGGCGCTTTGATAGTGCAGCTCCCATTCACAGGCACAATTTCATCCCTGAAAAACATGAAAATGTGCCAATTAAACAACATGTTGCTCAATGGTAATGAGCAGGCTAGACAAGGTTTCAGCAAAATGAGTCACTTTAGGACTTAAAGTAAAAACACAATGTGCTAGATCTGTACCTGCAATCTGCCACAACGTGACACGAAGCTGCTCCTGCCGAGTCAGAATTGGAGCAGTTGAGCATGGAGATAAAGTCTGTGGTGCATGTCACACTGCACACGCCGTCATCTGCAAACAGTGATGTGAGAGGAAATGCGGTCAATCGAGCTACAGAAACGGTAGCATTTCTTCTCAAAGCAACACCTGAATAGGTCAAAGGACACCAGCTAAATCGCTTTTACTGCTGCAGCTACATCCTCTTGAGGGTGTCGTGTTTAAATGCTACGTCTGCACTTGTTTTATAAGATGTTTGATGTGGAGAGATGGATACATTGCAATAAATGTACACTTACTGCACTCAATAAGTCCACAAATTACAAGCAAGGCTATGGCTTGCCATAGAGCCATCATGGAGGAACAGGGAAAAAATCTGCGGTCAGCCCTGCTCAAATGCATTGTACAGAGTCCACATGCAAACTGAAATGAAAGTAAATATGTTTTTGCACTGCTGTTATGTATTAATGTGTATAAATTAATTTGTCGTCATTTAAATTCTAACAAATGTAAGAAAATAAAAACATAAACATTTTTTATACATATAAAATGTACAACACCATGCCAGTGATGTATTAGATATTTCTCCTCTTAATCATCATATATAGTTTAGTCTATAATCAACATATTTGTATTAAACAAGAAGATATTGTCGAGTTCAAAAAGACGAGCGAAAGTGCCTATAAAAGAAGTAGAGGAATTTTTAAACTTACCTTGATATTATTCCCATTGAATCGTTTTACAAAAATCTAAAATTTGAATGAAAATATGCAATTCTGTTGTTCTCAATCAAACACCGGTTGTACATTGCACAAGTCTTGACATTTATACCATGCCAATCTACTGATCAGCATGCACAGTCAGAGTGCTTGTGACGAAAATATGACATGAAGGATGTGGTTGTGGTTAAAACAAGAGCCTATTTGCAGATGCTCCGCCCCATGTGAGGCCAATTGAGGGTATTTCCTGTTATGTAGGTGCTGTCCTCAAGGGCCTGATAAAAGTGCAATGTCATCAAATTCTGATTTGGTTTCAGGACAGTTGATAACAGATAAATCTTGGCTTGGCATGAATTAAAAAAAAAAAAAAAAAAGTTGAATAAATATAAATGGAAAAAGCAGTGATAGTGTGTGACGTCTTATATTGTGGTGTCAGTGCTGTAATATACAATACTGAATTAAGCAAAACATTGCCAACAATTAGATTATGTTTTAAATATTAGACTCTAATATTTATTTCCTCAGTCATATTTACAACAAGAATACATCCGCGCTTGAGAGCTAAGAGATCATGTAGGTGTCTAAGAAATGCCTGACCAAAATGTTTTATTGTCTTAAATCAGTGGGTTTCTCTAACTAAAACATGCAGTAAGGAAGTTGAAACGTATTGTTATTGCACTAATCACATAATATTAATGATTATATTTTAATCAGTTTAATAGTTTTATTAGTCAATTATCAGTTATTTGTTATTAGTTTTGCTAAGCAAGTTTTGTTATTGCTTTGAATTGGACGTTCAGGTGATAATCATCAGCTTGTGTTTATAGATAATAGCTTGCAACTCATTCGCTTGTAATTAAAGGGAACAATCCATTCAGTTTGACTCGGGACATATGGATATTGTTGAAAGTTTCACACAGGCATCTGCGTGTGTGCTCAGGGGTCCTAATTATCTTGGGTAAATGTCTGTTTTCTTTTTTACAGGAGGGAAACTTCGATAGATTTTTTGCTTGGAGTTTGCCTTGAATTCCCAATTAAACGGTGCTTGGTGTAGAGTTCAGTACTCGTCTTCACTGAATAGGTATGTGTGACGTGAAAAACAGAGTTAATTTCTGAGCATTTACTGTAGTTTGCGGTGTTTTTGTTTGCGGCTCTTGTTAGCTAGCCAGCTATGCTAGGCTAACAGTTTATTCACACCGCACGCGACGCGACAAACTACAGTGCGCATGCATTATAATTCGGTAAATGCATGCATACATGTAGAGTAAACAATTCTGTGCATGTAGTTTTTACGCGAGCAGTTAATCGCAACAAAGCGTGATTTGGCTCATTCAAGCGGTTAAAGTGCGCAGTGAGGGATGCTGGTGTGCGGCATCGCGCTGAAAATGTGCATCTGACAGGTCCATTCATTCAATGCGCGTTATTCGCTCATTACTGTAATCAAACATAGACCAGCATATTCGTTATAGTAAACTGCTTTGATTGTGCTAACGATAGAAGCCCTGAATGTAATTTGCATGTTTAAGCCTTCACGCTTTTCCAATCATGCATAGTTTTTTTTCTTTTTTACTTATTATAGATTTTAAGTGTCCGCTAATTATTGCCCGCGATTTAATAAACATGTTTGATAATGGTTATCACTTCCTCTTACTAAGTTACACCCCCCTCCCCCCAAAGTCACACTTTTAGTTAGATTAAACGGTAGTTTTTTGGATGCGTTGGTTATGAGAACAGTGCATATTTTTAGCATTTTCGCTTCTCCATTTATATTTTGTTCTCACCAGAGATTTTTACTGTGCACCTTTATCCTTTATTTTAATTTTCCGCAATTTATAATAATGAACATGATTTTAATGATCAAGTCTGCATGAAATAAATTCCCCTCATCTGCTTTCTAAATGCATATTTTACACTAAAAATATGGAACAATGTACTGAATTACTATTACAGGCGTTTGACCTGTATCTTTTTTCTGATTTTAAATTGTTGTGTTTTAGGGTTAACAGAATATCAGTAAAATTAATGGGTAATGCATAATGTCCTGGCAGAAAATTGCCATTTTTTTTTTTTTGCATGTGCATATGTTCTGGGCCTTGAGCTTCTGGTGAAATGACAGACTTGCATTCATTTGAGTGCAGTGCCCACATTTCAATATCTTAATCAACAACCAATGGATAGAACCAAATCCCGTCCTTCATATTACTGTTTAGATAACCCATTATGCTGTATGTCACAATACTGAAGAAAAAAAAATTATATATATATTGCTCCTCCTGTTTCATTTTGGCTTTAATAACATCGACAGCCTCTGAAGATATTTAAAAATGGCATGTTATTTGGGTTGGATTATTATACCCCCCCCTGTATTTCGCTTCCTTTTCCACTTAACCTTTAAACTATTTTCTTACAGTAGTTTGGTTGTCGTTGAAAGTGTAAGAATTGTAAATCTTGCCCAACTCTGATTAGTTTTTTTTGTTTTTTTTTGACTCATGATGATGAGTACCAAACCTTTAAGGTTATTAATCAGGAAACCGTTTTGCTGTTTTTCATGTCATTGCATTGAAGGGAGCGCTGCACTATTCCTCCTTTTAGAAACCCCAGAGGACCAGGTTTTAGAATTGTATTAAATAGGGAAACCTATTAAATGGTTGATATGTTATGCGAGTGTATTACAACCTATTAATAACTACTGGTAAAATTAGAAAGTAAAGTTCACATACTGTACATAATCAGTAACCTAATGTTGAGAAAAGCCTTATTTGTATGATTTAGTCAGATCATCTATTAATGGAGAATGTGAAATGTACAATCATTCTGCACTAAACAGCGGTGTATTACAGTGTATTGCATATCACTATTGCTACAATTTCACTGCTGCATGTTCTTATAAAATGGAAACTAAAAAGCTCTCTATATTTGAGACACTATGGTGACACTTCTTCATTGGTGTGAACCCAGTGTGGTTTTAAAGGTTTACCTTTTATGGTAGGCTCAACCAATTGGCTGAACAAAATTTTCAATTTTGTTTATTTTATTAAAGGCCAAAATGCAATAAAATTCTGATAAATATTATTTGGAGTCTTTTTTTTTTTTCCTCCCCAATATTTGGTTTTGTAATAACTTTTATAAAGGCTCGATATAAAGTTGATTATTGACAAAATGCAGTTTTTGAAATTGCACACTGACTGTGCATAGCTTTACAGATACATGCATCTTATTTAAGAGAAAAACATTGTCCATGTTTTCCAGATTTTCAATCATTTTGTGGGCCACAAGTCATGTCTGGTATAGCATTAAGTCGTCTCGCACAAGAACGGAAGGCTTGGCGGAAAGACCATCCTTTTGTAAGTATGCAACGTTTCCGATCATAGATGTGCAGCATATATATATATATATATATAATTTTTTTTTTTTTTCCTCAGGGATTTGTAGCTGTACCAACAAAAAATCCTGATGGAACTATGAACCTGATGAATTGGGAGTGTGCCATCCCTGGAAAAAAAGGGGTATGTGTCAATCTGGCTGTAATGTTTCTATTCAAAATGTACTGTTTGTGTTCTATGAATACCACATTAATATTCGAGTTTGTAAGACCCATTACTATTTACAACTAGTATTTGCTTTCATCTTGAATGTGTCTTCTGTGAACTCTTTGTTTTGTATTTTTTTGTGGTTTGGATAAAAAAAAACATGTTTCGGACCTTGTATGCCCTTGTATTTATTATGAATGAAGATAATGGTAACTTAATTTCTTTTTTTTTTTTCTTTTCAGACACCGTGGGAGGGAGGCTTGTTCAAACTTCGGATGCTGTTCAAGGACGACTACCCTTCCTCTCCACCAAAGTGTAAATCAGATGTTTAGTGGATCTAATCCTTTGTTTGTACCTTGTAGTATGCACATTGTGTCTAATTATGGCTGGTTTTTGTAATGTGACTTCTACAGGTAAATTTGAGCCCCCTTTATTCCATCCGAATGTATATCCGTCCGGTACCGTATGCTTGTCTATATTAGAGGAAGATAAAGACTGGAGGCCTGCCATTACAATCAAGCAGGTAAGCTGTAAAGGTTGGAACCTTAAAGGTTGCACCGCTTTGTAAATTGATGGACGCGTTGTTAAATGCTCTTTAAATGGAACAGCCAATAACAAAGTGTAGTTCAAGATTATGTTTAAGGATGAATTATATTTTCATTGGATTTCATTTTCAGGTTTTTGTTTTCTAAATTGAACTTCAAATGTCATATTGATTTGTGGTGCATTTTAAAATCTCCCTTAAACCTAGTCTTCCATGCAATCCTGAAGAGGGCAGTGTTATCTCATAAAGCTCCGCAACTGATTTATATTTCTAGATCTTGCTAGGAATCCAAGAACTCCTTAATGAACCAAATATTCAGGACCCCGCACAGGCCGAAGCATACACAATTTACTGGTACGCACCTCCAGCTCAAATATAGTCTTGCCTGTTGACACTGAAATGCTTATTGCCTCTGTTATGAATCTTGTGTTTGCGTTTCTGTTTCAGCCAAAACAGAGTGGAGTATGAAAAAAGGGTCCGAGCACAAGCCAAAAAGTTCTCGCCGTAAACCGCAAGATTTCGCACTGTATTGGAAATGGGTTTTGACCAGGTCTCCTTGCCCCTGTTACTCCCCCCTTACAAATCCTATCCACTTCATACTAATTTACTGCTGGGCTTAAAGAAATGAATGTGTCGTGCCATTGTCAATCCACTGATGCTCGTCCTAACAAACTCTTCCTGGGGGTTTTAAATTTGGCCTTTTGTATAGTACCTTTTTCCTTTTGCATTTGGGCAGCAGAGATGCTCACACAAAGTTGAGTGAGTTGTGGATTTTTTTTTTTTTTTGGGTGGGTGGGGTTACTTGGTAACAGTGCTACATATTTGCAAAAAAAGCCACAATAAACATCATCCACTTGCAGAAGAAATGATATTCCACAGATGCAGAGGTATGAGCATAAAACTGCTTTTCGTTTTGCTTAATCTTTGTTTTCTTTCAGACTGGCCTCCTAAGTCTCTTTCATGGTTTTTAATAATTTAAACCTTGCTATTAATGTCAGTATTTCAACTGCTGTAAAATGTTACTTTTATACTTCCTTTACTTTGGATTAGTGTCTGTAGAGAGATTTCCATTCCTGATGCAGGCAGTGTACTAAGCATGTACCATTCAGTATGATAGCGTTGTGCTGCCTCGGCCGTCTGTGTTTTGCAAAAGAAGAAAAAAAAGACTTAACGTAAAAGGCCTCTGAATCAAATGGTTAGTTAACCGCTGCATCAGTCTCTTTGCGTTCATATGGTGTTTTGTTCATGTAAGTGTATAGAGTAAATAAAATGTTTATACAAAGCCAGTTGTGAATGCAGGTATGTTCTTCTCATGACTGGATTGATTTCAACCATCTTGAAAGGTTTTTTTAATGGTCACTTTTTAATGTTTGAATGCCACTGGAATGAGGTTTGGTTTACTGTCATATATAGTGAATGGAAGCAAACACCGAAAATTGTGAATTTGAGTTCACTCTTGTCTCTGGAGCTGCAGTATGCATGACAACTCTGGAAACTTGTTATTGATAGCAGTAATTATATAGATTTTATTGTTATCGTCATTTCTTTGAGTTAAATTTGAAAATGGGCAGAAATGAGAAGACCTAAAAAAATCTGATTTAATAATTGTGTAATAAGTGTTTTATAAAATGTCAAGTAGTAGACAGGAATTGGAAAAATAATTTGATCAACTTAAAAAAAAAATAGTACAGTCATGGCCAAAAGTTTTGGCAGCGACAAATAGTGTTTTGCAAAGTTTGCTGCTTCAGTATTTAGATACTATACCCCCCCCCCACATGTTTGTGGTAAACTGAACAAAAAAAAAAAGGCATGTAAGTTTTAAAGGCTTTTATTGGCAAAAAAGTGTCAATATTTACAGTGTTGACCCTTGTTCTTCATAACCTCTGGCATGCTGGATATTAGCTTCTGGGCCAAATCCTGACTGATGACGATCCATTCTTGCCTTATTAGTTCTCAGAGTTTATCACAATTTGTGGGCTTCTGCTTGTTCACTCGCCTTTTGAGGACTGACCACAGGTTCTCTATGGGATTGAGATCCGGGGAGTTGCCTGGCCACGGATCCAAGATTTCAATGTAATGATCTTCGAGCCACTTCTTTATCACTCTGGCTTTTTGACATGGTGCTCCATCATGCTGGAAAATGCATGGATCATTACCAAATTGCTCATGGATCGTTGGAAGAAGTTGCTCTTGCAGGACGTTTTGATACTATTCTTTATTCATGGCAGTGTTTTTGGGCAGAATTATGAGAGAGCCCACACCCTTGGTTGAAAAGCAACCCCACACATGGATGGCCTCAGGATGCTTCACTGTTGGCACAACACAGGACTCATGGTAGCGTTCACCTTTTCTTCTCCGAACAATCGATTTTCTAGATGTCCCAAACAGTCGGAAGGGAGCTTCATCAGAGAAAATCCCAAAGAGTCGGAAGGGAGCTTCTTCAGAGAAAATAACTGCACCAGTCTTCTGCTGTCCAATCCTTGTACTTCCTGCAGAATTTCAGTCTGTCCTTGACGTTTTTTTTTAGAGAAGTGGCTTCTTGCTGTCCTTCTTGACACCAGGCCATTGTCCAAAATTCTTGGCCTCACTGTGTGTGCACATGCTCTCACACCAACCTGCTGCCATTCCTGAGCAAGCTCTGCACTGCTGGAGACACCGAAGCGATGATGGCTGCACGTGTTTCTTTGGAGGTAACCATTGCTAACAAGAACACAATGATTGGAAGCGCTTCTTCCCTCCTTTTATAGCAATCAGTCTGCTCTTACAATCTAATTAGTATGATAGTGATTTCACCTGACTAGTACTCATTCACACTTTCACATGTTTTGCTGATATGATTAGTCAATTAATGTTAGCAATGTAGCGAATCAGCTCATTGGGGAAATATGAATAATTAATCATAACTAGTTATAATTAATTATAAATATTTAGATCCGCTGTAAGTATTTACTTGACCTCTCAGGGTCAACTGTCAATTCTAAGAACGTTAATTTCCTGGTTAAGGGAAATAACTTTCTTACTGTACAACTCTACACAGAGCCTGTAGCATAAATCTGCAGTTATGAGCAAACAATGACCAACGTCAAGTGTGATACAAGTAAGACTTTATTAACTACATAAACACTTAAACTAGTCTAACATACTACATAAACACATAAACTGGTCTAACATACACATA